TTTGAAAATCTAATTGCCCTTTCATTCTTTGTACTTGTTTTGTTGAGCTTTGGCTTCTTTTGTTTTTGTTTTTTGAGCCACTGTGTCATGTGACGCAGGCTGGCCTTGAACTTTCTGTGTAGCCAAAGCTGGTTTTGAACTCTTGATCCTCCTGCCTCTGCCTTCAAGCCTGCTTCAATGGCTGCCCTTCCAGAGGACCTGAGCTTGTTTCTCGGCACCCACATTGGGCAACTCATCCCCAGAGGGTCGGATGCCCTCTTCTGGATTCCACCAGCCCCAGAACATACATACACATGCACACATTATTAAATTATAAAAATACATCTTTTAAAACAGGACTTAGCAGATGCAGCTCCTTTTTTATAGTTAGGGGTATGGAAGACAGAATGGGCCTGCCACATGCAGCCTACAGACAGAAAGATTTGGAGCATGTGAATCAGGAACAGAAGTTTAGGTCACCACGAGCTGATGCATGACTGCCTGGACTCCAGCTCTCAAAAGGTGGAGGCAGGAAGACCAGCAGGTGGAGGCTAGCCTAGGCAACACAGTGACTTCAATGACAGTTTGAGCTACATAAAGGCTTGTCTCAAAAAACAAAGGAGAGGCAGGCGGATCTCTGTGAGTTCGAGGCCAGCCTGGTCTCCAGAGCGAGTGCCAGGATAGGCTCCAAAGCTGCACAGAGAAACCTGTCTCGGGGGGGAAAAAAAAAAGGAGGAGGACTGCAAAGATGGCTCAGAAGTTGAGAGTACCGACTGCTCTTCCAGAGGACCCGGGTTCAATTCCCGGCACCCACATGGCAACTTAAAACTGTAACTCCAGTTCCAGGGAGCTGAACCCTACAGCAAAACGCTAATGCACATTAAATTTAAAACAACAAAAAATATAAAAGGAGGAGGAGTCAGTTCCCTCTGTGAACTGCAGCTTTAGTTCTGCCAAAGACCTGCATGGAGCTCCACTTCCCAGTGGCCTGCCCCGTAGACAGTCCCTTTGTATGGGGTCCCTCCTGAGGAGTCTGGAGGTGCATTCCCTACCGTTGTGATTCTCTAACAGAGGGCAGATTTGGGGACAGTAGATCTAGAATTTGTGGTTCTGGGGTTAAACCCACGGTCTTCCTAAGTTGCCCAGGGTTACCCAGAACTTATTGTGTAGACCAGGCTAGCCACAAATTCACAATCCTCCTGCCTCAGCCTTCCAAGTATCTGGGAGGAGAGGTGTGTGCCACCAGGTTCTACAGAGGGGCAGAAGCTTGGGGGTGAGTTTTCTGAATGGGTTGTGGGACTTCGGGGAGAGGTTCTCTTGGCTGAATGGGTTTAAAGGCCATAATGACTGTGGTGCTGTTCTTTTTTTTTGCATTTTTTTATTAAATTATTAATATTTTCACATGTACTTTCCCTCTCCCTCTGGAATGAACTGTAATCCAGAAATGGAGGGCACACTTGAGGCCGGAAGGCCACACCTTCTACTGGAAACCTATATAAGGGCAGTGGAAGAAGTCCAAGAATTCAGTAGTTGCTCGGTCCCTGGAGGCTGGGTGTCTCAGCTGGTCTTCTGTATGTACTGGAATCCTGAAGAAGCAGGCCAGTGAAGGAATGGCTGTGCTGACAAGGAGAGGGCGAGCAGCAAAGAATGAATTCTTGGACTTCCCATTCAGAGCTAGCCATGGACTCAGCCAGGAAGTCATTCCAATAAAATTGTGTGTGTGTACACACACATGTACATATATAAAATGCACACACACACACACACACACACACACACACAGAGAGAGAGAGAGAGAGAGAGAGAGAGAGAGATAGAGAGAGATTCATTCTTTGAGTCCTCTGACTTTTTTTTTGTTTGTTTTGTTTTTCTGAGACAGGGTTTCTCTGTGTAGCTTTGGAGCCTATCCTGGCACTCGCTCTGGAGACCAGGCTGGCCTCGAACTCACAGAGATCCGCCTGCCTCTGCTTCTCCTCCCCACTTCCTCCTCCCAGGGCCATTAGCATGTTAGAGCTATATACTCTCCGGACCCTCCCCCTACTTGATTCAGCATAGCCAGCCACAGTTGGTCAATTCTGTCAGCTCACTCCTTTCCTGGGATGTTTCAAGCCATCACTACATCACTGGGTGTGATGATGTATTATTTATGATTTCTAAAAGCTCTCCTGAGGATTCGGGAAGCAAAGTCAGTCACAAGCTATAGGGGTCAGGAGGTGGTGTCACACACCTTTAATCCAGGACTCAGGAGATAAAGGCAGAAACATCTCTGGTAGTTCAAGGCCACCCCCAGATACATTAGAGTGAGTCAGTCTAAAAGAGAATTAGAGCTCACGCCTTTAATCCCAGCACTCATGAGAGGTATTTAAGACAGGAAAAGGGTCTCAGAGCTGGCATTCATTCTCCAGCCACACTGAGGATAGGAAGACATTGAAGTCTCAGGATTCTCCAGCTACACTGAGGTTTCTTTGGTGGAGCCAGGATCTCCTTCCAGTCTGAGGGAGAGGTAAGAGCTAGTGGCCAGCTGCTTTGCTCTCCTGATCTTCAGCTTGAAGCGTGACCCCAATATTAGTCTCTGGGTCATTTATTTATGTTGCTTGCAACAAATGAGTGGCAATACTTGGTGTCTCTGCTTCTACATGGGTTGCCAGAAGTTCTGACCACCTGTCTTAGGGTTCTATTGCTGTGATGGAACACCATGACTAAAAAGCAAGTTGGGGAGGAAAGGGTTTATTAGGCTTACACTTTCAGCATTGCTGTTCATCATGGAAGAAAGTCAGGACAGGAACTTAAACAGGACAAGATCCTGGAGGCAGGAGCTGATTCAGAGGCCATGGAGGGGTGCTGCTCACTGGCTTGCTCTTTGTGGCTCACTCAGCCTGCTTTCTCCTAGAACTCAGGACCAACAACCCAGGAATGGCACCACCCACCATGGGCTGAGCTCTCCCCTATTGATCACTAAATGAGAAAATGCCTTACAGCTGGATCTCAAGGAGACATTTCCTCAGCTGAAGCTCCTTCCTCTTTGATGACTCTAGCTTGTGTCAGGTTGACACGCCAAACCACCCAGTACACTTGGATTGTGGGTACAGAGAGAGGCCTCCCCTCAAATTCCCTCTAAGCCTACTATTGGCAGCCTCATAAGAAGGACTCATATGGGGACACAGACAGCAAGCAGTCAGGGTTTATTTCAGCAGGTGAGAAAGCAGGACGAAGTGCACTTTCTAGAGTGGCAGGCCCCACCACGAAGGGCTGCCTCTAGTACTGGGACTTGTACATCTTGATAGACTGTAGCCCCTCCCATTGCCATCTTTGGGTCTGTCTTGGGGGACTGCTTCCTGGAAGAGGTGGAGGTTTTCTTAGAAACCGTCCTTCCCCACAATTCAGTCTTACACAATTTCAGGAATATATATGAAGATGCAACAGGCCGCCAGGCATTGGTGGTGCACGCCTTTAATCCCAGCACTCGGGAGGCAGAGGCAGGTGGATCTCTGAGTTTGAGGCCAGTCTGGTCTACAAGAGCTAGTTCCAGGACAGCCTCCAAAGCCACAGAGAAACCCTGTCTGGAAAAACCAAAACCAAAAAAAAAGATGCAACAGGCCCATAAAGTTGAGATGCTGAGTATGGAAAGGGCAAGGGTTCTTGAAGAATATATGTAAAGATTAACTATCCCAAGAGCTTAGAGTTTACAGGGACAGGACAATGATGTGTTGTACCTTCTCCTGGAGGTGGGGTTCTTCCTAGGGGTAGCACTTTCTGAGGTCCCTCCAGAGTCTTCTGGGTAGAGCCTTGTCTTTCCTACCTGGTCTGTCTCATACAACCCCTCTTATATTATCTTCCTTGGTTCACCAACCTTGCCATTTTAACCCTGACTTTCATTTTCTTAAAGATTTATTTATTTTATTATTTTGTGTGTATACACCGGCATGTGCCTATGGTGGAGGTCAGAAGTTGTTGAAGCTGAGTGGTGGTGACACACACCTGTAACCTTGGCACTCAGGAGGCAGTGGTGGTGCACCCCTTTAATCCCCACACTCAGGAGGCAGAGGCAGGTGGATCTCTGAGTTTGAGGCCAGTCTGGTCTACAGAGTGAGTTTCAGGACAGCCAGGGCTACACAGAGAAACCCTGTCTTGAACACACACACACACACAAAAACAAACAAACAAACAAACAAACAAACAAAAACCAACCAAACAAAACCAGAGGTTGTTGGGCCCTTGTGGATTCACGGATCAAGATTTGTGGGGCTAGGTTCAATACAGGTTAAATATAATTTTATTGAGGGGGAAGTCACTTACACAAGAAGCAGATTACTGCTGCAAGTTCCCGAGCCAAGGATCCACCCAGGCTTCTATGACCTGACCGGAGACCAGAGAGCACACTGTAAACCTAAACCCATTATTGGTTTGGGTGTGGTCATCGCTACAAATGTGGGCGGGGTGGATATCTCACTACAGACCCTCTGAGACTGGGTTTATAGGTTGTAAGCTACTACGTGGGTGCTGGGAATCCAATCTGGGTCCTTTGATAGAACAGGGGCTCCTAACCACTGATAACATTCAATTTAATTGTTATGTGGTTTTTGTGGATCTTTCCACATCTGCCTGAGTGCTGGGATTACTGGGTGCACTACCATCTCTAACTTTTTGGGGTGTCTCTCTCCCTCCACCCCCGCCGGAGACAGGGTTTCTCTGTAGCTTTGGAGACTGTCCTGTAACTCACTCTGTGGACTAGGCTGGTCTTGAACTCACAGAGATCTGCCTGTCTCTGCCTCTTGAGTGTTGGGATTAAAGGCGGGTGCCCCCATTGCCCAGCCCACTTTTTGTTTTTTGAAACAGTATTTCCTGTGTACCTCTGGCTGGCCTGGGACTTGAAATCCTTGTGTGAACCTGGCAACCTCTCCTATGCTTAACTTCAGATGTGTACCAATCATCTCTTATCATTGCCGTTTTTATGTTGATGTCTTCAGATTGTGGTATAGTCTATGCTATCAGTAACTACCAAATGTCACTCTCAGCAGATGTAGATCTCCAGAGTGGCACCCGTGACAGCTGTGAAGTCACTCCAGGCTTTCAGCCCTGTGTTTGACAGTCTGCTATGAAGATGGCAGCCAGGGTGATTTGGGGTAGCCTCAGCCTGCTTCGAGTCTTGTGGTGTCTCCTTCCCCAGACTGGCTACATACACCCAGATGAGTTCTTCCAGTCACCTGAGGTCATGGCAGGTAAACCCCCATGTACTGCTAATAAGGCTGGGGCAGCAGTGATATTTGGTGGGGAAGGACATGCCCGTGGGATGAATGAACAGGCAGAGTCGAAGCCTCTTTGGGATGAGAACTGGAAGTGGGGAATGGGCATTTTCCTCAGCTTCTGGAAGACATGAATCAAGTACCAGCCTCTTCCAAGTTCTCCTGCTTGGGCCAACAGGTCAGGTCATGCAGAATGATGGTCCCGCTGGACTTGTCAGGGGAATGACTTCAGAGCCGGCTTTCCCACTGGCTAGGGAAGCTTGCCTGATATAAGGAAAGTTGTATGTAGGCTCAGGAGGGCCTCCTCCCTTAAGACCATGTTTAGTAGTCACACATAAACCCTTTTTCTTTTCTTTTTTGAGACGGGTTTCTCTGTATTGTTTTGGAGGCTGCTGGCACTGGCTCAGTAGACCAGGCTGGCCTCCAACTCACAGAGATCCGCCTGCCTCTGCCTCCTGAGTGTTGGGATTAAAGGCGTGTGCCACCAAAGCCTGGCTCTATTTATGTATTTTTTTAGGTATGTGTGCTCTGCATGTATGCCTGTAGGCCAGAAGAGGGCATCAGATCCCATTACAGATGGTTGTGAGCCACCATGTGGTTGCTGGGAATTGAACTCAGGTCCTCTGGAAGAGCAGCCAGTGCTCTTAACCTCTGAGCCATCTCTCCAGCCCTTCTTTTCTTTTTTTAGACGTGGTCTCTCTGTGAAGCCCTGGCTGTCCTGGAGCTCACTATGGCCTCCAACTCCATGAGGTCCTCCTACCTCTGCCTCCTGAGTCCTCTTTTCTCTTTTGAGACAAGATGTAATGTAGCAGCGGCTGGCTTTGAACTGACCAAGGCCATGACCCCTGATTCTCTGGCCCCCACTTCTAGAGTGCTGTGATCACTGGCAGGTGCCACCACTCCTGGATTGCTGATTGGGATTGAACCCAGGATTTGGTGCACAATGGGCAGGCAATTTTTTTTTTTTTAAAGACAGTCTCACACTGCAGCTCAGGCTTGCCCTTAAACCCATGGCTATGAAAACAGTCTTCATGTCTGGCCCTGTGTCCAGCGAAGAGACTAAAGGAGAAAGGTTCAGACACTTGGCTAGTCTTGGTTTTCTTGCCCTTCTGAGACAGCATCTCTCTATACAGCTAAGGCTGCCCTGGAACTCACTGCGTAGCCCAGGAAACCCTCAAACTTGTAGCAGTCCTCCTGACTCAGACTCCAAATGTTTCAAGTGTGCACCAGAGCACTCATTTTGAGGACAGGAATCACGGCACGGGAGACCTAACACTGTCACAGGGCTCAACATTTAGATTTGAATCGTACATTGGAAAATTCCATCTCCTTTTCCTGTATTTTTGAGACAAGTCTCTTCACATGGTATAGACTAGTCACAAACTCACTATATAACCTTAAACTCTTGATCCTCCTGCCTCTGCATCTCTAAGTACTGGAATTCTAGGCATGTGCCACAATGCCTGGCTTCCAAGCTCATTCTTGTTGGCAGAATTTTATTCACTTCACTTAAAGTAACATGTTAGTTCTTTCCCTGCTGTTTCTGGAGGTCACCACATTGTTTCTAATAGCAACTGGGGCACATAAAATCCTTTTCCTGCTCTGTGTCTTTGCCGGTCTCCTCTGCATCCAGGTGGAGGCCCTCTGCTGTTAAAGAGCTGGGGAGAGGGGACAGGCTGCCTGAGAGACTCTCCCAAATAGCTTTACCAAAGCACTAAAACCCACCTGGTGCAATCCCAGGGGTTGTGCTCGAAGTGTCCACCAGGGGGCCTTGCAATCCTGGTGCCAACCCAGAACTCTTCCCAGCACAGGCTTGGAACTGGCTCATCCCTGCCTCTCTCTCTGCAGAGGACATCCTGGGTGTGCAGGCTTCACGGCCCTGGGAATTTTACCCCAGCAACTCCTGTCGCACTGTGGTCTTCCCCCTGCTGACCTCTGGCTCTACCTTCTGGTTGCTCAGGCTCTGGGAAGAGCTGGGGCCCTGGCCTGGTCTGGTGAGTGGCTACAAGCTGCTGGTGGGGCCCCGACTCCTCCTCACTACCCTCTCCTTTGCCCTGGACTGGGCTATGTACTATCTGGCTCCACTGTGGGGGGCAGATCGCTGGAATGCCATGTGCCTGCTGTCTGGGTCCTATGTCACCCTGGTTTTCTACACAAGGACTTTCTCCAACACCATCGAGGGACTTCTCTTCACCTGGCTGCTGGTGTTGGTGTCCCCTTATGTGGCATGGAGTCCCACATCAAAGAAGCCTACCCCGGGTCCATGGTGGCACAGCTGCCTTCTTGGTGCCATTGTGGCTGCTGGCTTCTTCAATCGGCCAACCTTTCTAGCCTTTGCTCTGGCCCCCCTCTCTCTCTGGGGAATCCATAGAGCCTTGGAACCTGGCATCAAGGCCTTGACTCAGGAGGCCCTGGTGCTGTTGCCAGGGGCTGTTCTTGCTGCAGTGTTGTTTATAACCATGGACAGCTGGTATTTCTCCAGCCTCTCGAGATCCAGTGGCCTTGTTCTTACACCTGTAAACTTCTTGTACTATAACCTGGACCCCCAAAACCTTGCAAGGCATGGCACACATGCACGGCTCACTCACCTGGCAGTCAATGGCTTTCTGCTCTTCGGGGTATTGCATGCTCAAGCCCTGCAGGCGGCATGGCAACAACTCCACAGCTGCCTCCATGCAGTTGCACAAACCGGCCTCTTGAGGGCGCGGGGTCCCCAGGGCCTACTGCCTAGTTCTAAGTCTTACCTCCTTCTCCTTTACTTCACACCCCTGGTCCTGCTGTCTGCCTTTAGCCACCAAGAGGCTAGATTCCTGATTCCCCTCATAGTCCCTCTAATCCTGCTTTGTAGTCCGCAAACACAACCTATACCCTGGAGGGGTACCCTGGTCCTCTTCAATGCCCTAGGTGCGCTCATCTTTGGCTGCCTGCATCAGGGAGGTTTGGTACCTGGCTTGAAATACCTGGAGCATGTAGTCCATGCACCTGTCCTCCCGGGCAGGGCCACCCACTACACGCTTCTCTTCACCCACACCTACATGCCTCCTCAGCACCTCCTGCACCTCTCAGGCCTGGGATCACCTGTGGAGGTGGTGGATATGGCTGGAGCTGAGGACAGGGTCCTGTGCCAAGCCCTGAACAATTTCAGCAGACAACCAGGTTGCCAACAGGCTGGGGGGCCACAGCTCTGCCGGCTCTTTGTTGTAACACCTGGGACCAACAGGCATGCTCTGGAGAAGTGTAGTTTCTCTCTCAAGAATGAAACTCTTTTATTTCCCCACTTGACCCTGGAGGACCCTCCAGCCCTGTCCTCCCTGCTCAGTGGGGCTTGGAGGACCCACCTTAGTCTTCATGTCATAGAGCTGGAGGAGAAGCCCGTTATGACAAAGCAGCCATGGCCTAAGATTCAACCATAGAAGGTGCCACTCCTCACAGGCTGCTGGGCTGGGATAATGGAACAGGACTTCTACTGCTGTCTCTGATGGGCATACCCACAGGTTGTTCCTCTAAGTGAGCCCACATTCATTTTCCTCAGACACCAAAGATTTGACCAGTCATGGTCCCAATGCCAAGGTCCCCAAAGAAGCCTACCATAGCCACAGGCACATGTTTGTTTCTGTGCCGTTACCTCCAATTGCTGTGTAATGTCTAAATATATAGTAGCGCCTGGTTATCAAAGACAATGAACTGCTGATGACGTTCCTAAGTGGCCTCTCCCAAACTTACCACAATGCCTGACTTCTTGTTACCATGACAACCTTTGATTTCCAATCTGGCTTTCTAAACAAATACAGTGTGAAGTAGGGACAGCAGGTGGCTCACATTCAGCTCTAGTCCCTAGTCTGCTACTCACAAACTGATCTTAACAAAGTCCCTTCCACTCAGCCAATCACCCAATCTCACCACAGACAGGAGGGTCCTGAGGTCAGTGTCAGCCCTGGAGCCCACAGACTAATGTCCCCCAGATTGATAAACATGTCTCTACAAGGCTCTTTAGCCAGGAAGCAGTCATTGTGTTATATTTCATGGCACTGTGGTGCCAGTGGACTCGGGGTTTGGGCATAACCAAAACAAGCCATTCCAGAGAATGTCTTCCTATCCTCTTTGACTCCTTTTATGAGCAGTGGTGGGATTTTTCCAGTCACTGTCTAAAGGATCAGGAAATGAAGCTCAGGGGCACAATGCCTGTTTAGGATGGTTAAGGAACTATCCCCAGCACCAAGATGGGAAAAAAAAAAAAAAGGAAAATCTCATCCGGGTGTTGGTGGCGCACGCCTTTAGTCTCAGTACTCGGGAGGCAGAGACAGGTGGATCTCTGTGAGTTCGAGACCAGTCTGGTCTACAAGAGCTAGTTCCAGGACAGCCTCCAAAGCCACAGAGAAACCCTGTCTCAAAAAAGCCAAAAAAATAAAAAAAATAAATAAAAAATAAAAAATTTTATAAAATTAAAAAATCTCTCAGAATGAAGAACCCAGGTGCTCTCCTTTCTCAGTGCTGTTGTAAGGCCCCCTTGGCCTTCCCCAGTGGAAACAGAACACAGACTGCTCAGAATCTGGTACCCAGTCTAAAAGCTTTTCTAATGGAGTCCAACCTTCTAGATGCTAAGATTAACTGAGTGGCTTAAATGGAGGTCTAGAAGTTGAATTAGGAGTCTCAAAATGACAAGGCAATTTATGTGCACAGGTTTCCTAATCACAGTTCAGTTAACTGACCATAGTGAGTACTCCAGACAGAGCCTCAAGGAAACCAAGTATCCTGTGCTGCTATAACAGAGGCCTCAGTGCTCAGTGGAGATTGAAAAGCCAGTCCCTGAGCAGGGAGTGCTCAAGAACACAGATCCTGGAGTCACACGCCTGGGCTCACCTCATTGTACAAGGCTTTGGGTTCAAAAAGTGGCCTCCACTTTCTCACACGAATGGGGTTTTAAGTCACAAACCACACAATGCAACAGCAAATAGCAACACAGACGCTTAACGTGTAAACTATTATTAGCAAGATCCTACAGACTTAGCAGCTTACATATTTAACCAGAGATCTTGGCAACCTCAGGGTTGTCATTCCATCTACCATCTTCCCTGGTATTCTCCTGCACCAGTGCAGATGGCAGTAGCGTTTATTTCGCTTCAGTCCCGCTTGCAGAAGGCAGGCTTCCTGGTCGTTTGTCCTTGGCTCTCAGTCATACTAAGTTTTGGTGTTGACTTTTATCTCTGGTGGCCTTCGGGGTCTTTACGTCCTGCCTAGTCACAGGACTACCACGCACATGTCCATTTGACCTTAGGCTTCTGTATGTTGACCGCCGCGTCAGGATTCGAGGCCGTGCATCGTGCGGGAGATGACTCATGTTTGCTAAGGTCGGTGTAGATCACTGGAGGGAGGGGTGGGGGAACGTGACCTAGGCCCGTGAGAGTGCAGTCTGTGCTTATGATTTGGTGCCCGGACCCTTCTGATGACCTGGGGATGACCCTGGTTGGTCCCGGAGGCCTCGGCGGAGTTCCTGGGTGAAGGTGTCCTTGAACCGGGTGGCGCGGCGACCCAAGGAGCCTAGGGGCTGACCCGCGAGGGCGCGCAGACGGCGGGCCGCGTCGTGGCCGCGCAGTTGCAGCTGCAGCCGCGCGGAAGCCGGGAGTTGCGCCGCCCGCCGGATAGGCCGTGACTCGGACAGCCGCTCCACCAGCTGCGGGTTGTGCAGCAGGGCTGCCAGCAGCCGCCGGAAAATCATCGTCCTCGGAGCGCCCGGGAACCCGGGGCGAGCCTTCACTCACCTTCCGACCGGCCACTCCCGACGACGGACAAGCCGGCGCCGCATGATGACGACACAGCCGCACCAGGATTGGCCCTGACCACGTCGGCTTACTGCAACAGGACGCACGCATTTCCGTTTCCGCCGCCACCGCCGCCTGGTCCTTCCAGTCGTGGCCGCGTCGTGGTTCGTGTCTGCACCATGTCCGGTGGCCTCCTGAAGGCGCTACGCAGTGACTCCTACGTGGAGCTCAGCGAGTACCGGGACCAGCACTTCCGGGTGAGGCGGGCCGGGCCACGAGAGGGGCTGGCTTTGGGCTGGAATACTGAGAAACGGTTTGCATTTGTCTTACTGTGTCTTCCACTCGTCTTATTGTGTCTTCCTTCCTGTTTTGTTGGGGTCCTAAAATGCGAATGGGGTCCCAGAGGTGTTTGGATATCATTGAAGCCACTTTACTCCTAGGGAACCTGGGATTTGCTTTTACAGTTTCTTACTGCTGCTGCGGGTACCAGCACCAATGCAGGGAGGTTCGGGTAGTGGTGGCTGTTTTGATGGGCTTGTCTTGCTTGGGAAAGTGTCTGTAATGAAGGAGTTATCCCTGCGTTGGCTGACCCAGACAGTATAGCCGTTTTTGTTTTTATAATCAGCTAGACATTCCCGTCTGGTATTACAGTCCTTAGTTTTTGTAAGACAGTCCTACAAAGTTGGCAATAGTAGGAGACTCAAAGTTGAGCCCTGTTTTTTGCTGTCTGACGGGCATCGGGCATGGACAAGCCACACGAGTCACAATAAGGTTGTCTGGATGGCAAAATCCAGTGCAGGCACTGGCTACACAGAGAAACCCTGTCTCGAAATACAAGCAAAAACACAAAGAAACTCAATCAGCTTAATTTGAAAACGTATACTGTGTGTCTGGTATGAGTTTCACTTGTACTGCTGTTTTTGTTTTGTTTTGTTTTGTTTTTAACAGTTCCCATTACTTTCAACAGTTCCACATCAGTAACTAACGATTTTGAATTTAAAGCATCCTGCAAGGTTAAAACCAGGAGAGGGATCATTTATTTCTTTTGTCAAAAGCCTGTAGCTCTGTTCGGACATTAATAATTTCTGTCGTGCATTTTTTAGTGTCAGTGCTGTACTGAGTGTGAAATTAAGTTACACTGAAGCTGTAAACTGTTTGGATTTTACTTGTGAGAAACGAACAGCAGTACAAAGTGAATCTGCTAGCCAGGTGCGATGGTGGACATCTGTATTCCTAGTTGTTCTGGAGACTGAGGCAGGAAGATCCCATGAGATCAGCTGGAACATGTAAAAGAAAATGTTGAAGTGATTATTTTCTCTAATGGATCATCGAAAGTTCTAAAACCTTGGGTTTATTTGGTTTGGGCTTGTTTGTTTGTTTGAGACAGGGTTTCTTGTGTAGCCCTGCCTGTCCTGGCACTCCCTCTGTAAACCAGGCTGGCCTTGAACGCACAGAGATCTGCCTGTCTCAGCCTCCCAGGTGCTGGTATTAAAGGTATGCAACACCACCACTACCACCCAGCTGGGGTTGTTTTTTTCAAGACAGGGTTTCTCTGTGTAGCTTTGGAGCCTATCCTGGCACTTGCTCTGGAGACCAGGCTGGCCCTGAACTCACAGAGATCCGCCTGCCTATGCCTCCCGAGTGCTGGGATTAAAGGTGTGTGCCACCATCGCCCAGGGCACCCAGCTGTTTGTTTGAATGCAAATGACTATTGTTCCATAGACTTCACCTGTTCAGTCCTGTTGTGATCTTAAGGCAATGTGGTAGTGGGGATAAGACCAGAATTTTACTTTGTTTTGTTTTTTAAACTGTAACTTGGAAAGCTAGAGAGATGTCTTAGAGGTTAGCACAAGCTGTTCTGGAGGACCTGGATTTAGTTCCCAGTCCTGGCATGATGACTCACAACCATCTGTAACTGATTCCAAAGGATCTGGTGCCCTCTTCTGGTCTCTGAAGGCACTAGCCATGCATCTGGTACACAGACATACAAACACGCAAAACACCCATACCTATAAAATAATAATAAAGCCAAGCCAAAAACTGTAACTTGGAGATGGGTGTGATGACCCATGCCTGTTACTGAAGCATTTGGGGGAGGTGGTAGCATGAGTCTCAGGAGTCTGAGGCCAGATTGGGCTATCTCAGAAAACAATTGGGCTAAGTAGACTTAGCTCAACAGGTAGAATGCTTGCCTAGCATGCATGCATGAAACTCTTGGGTAGATCTTGAGCTGTATATAAACTTGGAGTGGTGGTGAGTGCCTATAAGCCCAGTACTAGGAAAGTGGAGGCAAGAGGATCAGCAATTCAGTGTTATCCTTGGTTACAATGGTTCAATACAGCCTAAGCTACATGAAACCCTGTCTCAAAAAAACAGTAACAAAAGCATCTGGAGACAGTTGAGTGGTGGTGGCACAGGCCTGTAATCCCAGCCCAGCACTCAGGAGGCAGAGGCAGGCCTGGTCTTCAAAGAGTTACAGGACAGTCTCCAAACCTACAGAGAAACCCTGTCTTGAAACCCCCCCCAAAAAAAACAAAGTGGTAGGGGGTGTCTGGAGGACTCTAGTTCAGTCCCTAACACACCAGGTATCATCTCACAGCCAGTTTCAGGGAATCTGATGCCTCTGGTCTCCAAGGGCTGTCACACTGTGCGTGCATACGCATGCACGCATGCATGCACAATAACTTAAAAAGTAAAGAAAACTGCAGAGCTGGAGAGATGGCTCAGTGGTTAAGAGCACTGGCTTCCAAAGGTCCCAAGTTCAATTCCCAGCAACCACAGAGCAGCCCACAACCATAGTAATGAGATCTGGTGCCCTCTTCTGGCCTGCAGGCACACATGTAGGTGGAACACTGCATACATAATAAGTAAATACCTGCTAGCCTGAGCTCTGTTATAAAAAGAATGCAGGTGATTAGTGCACTCATATTCTCAGAAAAAAAGGGAACTGGATCAACATTACTTAAGGAATACTAGATGAAAACTGGAGAGTTCTAGAGTGAATTCCCTGAACTTAAGTCTTATCAGCTCCTCCAGACTGGATTCTATCATATGGTTGTCTGGACTAAAAAATGTCTGGTCAGTTGGTATATCTGTTTAGTCACATCTGTGCATTTGTGTCCTTTCCAGTGGGAATGCTAGAAAGCCCAGGGATAACTCCCCCCCCCCTTTTCTTCTGATAAACACCATGCTAGCTGAGTGTGGTGGCTCATGTGTATAATCACAGCTTTCAGGAGGCTGAAGCAGGGTGTTCAAAGCTCAAGACTAGTCTAGACTATAATGTAAGGTCCCAGAGATAAGAAACAAACCTGGAGCTGGGGGTGTTGCTCAGCATGCTAACGTGAAACCTTGAGTTTATTCCCCATCACCACAAATAATCAAATACCACATCTAAGACCCAATGAACCATCTTATACCTGGGGACTGCTTTATGTTGGTTGAAGCTCGCTTAAACTCCCATCTTTAGCACGTGTTCTCTCTCTCTCTCTCTCTCTCTCTCTCTCTCTCTCTCTCTTTCTCTCTCTCTCTCGCTCGCTCGCTCTCTCTCACTCTCTCTGGCTTCATCCTGTCTTTTAAAGAAAGTCTTGCCAGACAGTGGTGGTGCACACCTTTAATCTCAGCACTAGGAGCCTTAAAACAGGCAAGTCTCTGAGCTCTACATTAGCCAAAGCTACAGAGAGAGACCACATTTTAAAAAAGAAAGAAAAGAAAAAAAAAATCCTCTTAGTGGTCACTAACCTCTTACATGCACAAAAACATAACCATGCAAATCACCTAGCAGTTTTTGCTATGAACAGGCTTTAGGGGAGTACTGACAAGACTTACTTTTATTATAAAGGGTAAAAGGCCTTTCTGATATGTTCTGTCAAGGTGTAGAATTTGAACTTGGCCATTAGAGAAGGATCCAGTGCTGAGGGCAATGAACTATGCAAGAAAAAGGCATGCCACTCTTATGGCAGTATGATATAGGAGGATATGTGCTTTGTTTCTCCACTAAAAGCAGGCTGAACCTTACACTAGTATTTTAGAATGGGAATACTTCCAGACTGGTAGGGTTCTTACCTAATATGTAATATCTTGGGTTCAATTTCCAATGCCCCAAAACAAATTCACACTTTGAATAGTCAGTACTCTTAACCTATAAGCCATCTCTGCATTCACCCCACAACCACCTCTTAGGGCAAGGAAGAGTATGTGCTAGGGATCAGAAGATGAGAGCCTTTAATTTCCAGATCAGAATGGGCATCTTTATTATACTTGGAAATATGACTTTAACCAAGGCTCTGTAATTTTAGTTTTCAAGTCTGTTCATTTTATATATGTGTAATGCTTATGGAGGATTCACTCTTGTTTCTGCTCTGCACTGTCTACTCCAGACTGGGCTGGCCTCAAGCTTCAAGGAGATTCTCTATTCCGGTCCCATGTTCTGTAGGAGTGCTGGGATTACAGGTGCATGCCACCACATCCAGCTCTTCACTGGGCTTCCAGGGATCAAACTCAAGTTGTCAGGCTTGCACAGCTAGTGCTTCTCCTGACTAAGCATTCTATAGCCCTAAACAAATCTCTTTTTAGGTTGTAATGTTTAATTTCGTCTCTATTTGAAACTCTAGGGTGACAATGAAGAACAAGAAAAATTACTGAAGAAAAGCTGTACATTATATGTTGGAAATCTTTCCTTTTATACAACTGAAGAACAGATTTATGAACTCTTCAGCAAGAGTGGTGATATAAAGAAGATCATCATGGGTCTGGATAAAATGAAGAAAACGGCGTGTGGATTCTGTTTTGTGGAGTATCCTTCTTGGGCATCTAATGGAACCATTGAACCAGGACGGAGCAAGAGCGCGAGTACCTGCCTCTTTTCTTTTTTCTTTTTTTTTTTAATATGGCCCTGGCTAATCTGGAACTCTGGCCATCTAGCTGTCTGCCTCCTGGTGTTAGGATTCAAGGTGTGTGCCACTATACCCCACTTGGTTTTTTAAGGCACTAACTTACTATAATCCCTATCCTTTTCTCTCAGTTCTTCCTCTGAGTCATACTCTGTAAATTGCAAAACTGATACTACATTCCATTCAGAAATTTTGTTCACAGATGAATCTTTAAGAAAAGGTGTCTAATCCTAGCACCTGGGAGGCAGAGGCAGGTGGATATCTGGGTTTGAGGACAACCTGGTCTACCTAGTGAGTTCCTAGACAGTGAGGCCTACAGAGAGACCTTGTCTCGAAAAAGAGTTTTAGCCAGGTATGGTGATACACACCTTTAATCCCAGCACTCAAGGCAGAGTCAGGGGATCTCTGTGAGTTTGAGCTCAGTCGGGTCTACAAAGAGTTCCAGGACAGCCTGAGCTACACAGACCTGGACCCTGTCTCAGGGAGAAAAAAAATCTTGTTGTTTAGATTAGCTCCATTCCTGAGCTAAAGCCCCCAGGCAGCTGAGCATAAAGGCTCAAATCACCACAGTTTTTGGTGTATGATTTTGTAGTCAAACACACTTCTTTCTTTCCCTAAGCATAAAGGGCCAACCAGATTTCCAAAGTTTTGTACCCTACCAGCAATAGCATCAAAGAGCTCACAGGGACAACAGGGGAGAATATAAAATGGCCCTTAAGAACCAGTGTTTACATTTGCCTTGCAAGCCACAGATCAACATTCATGATAAGTGTACAGAAGTAAGCCTGCTGTTGCTCATTGGTTTTGCTCTTTGTCAAGCTTTCATGAAACAGAAGTCATTAAATGCCCACTGCTTGCTAGGCATTGTCTAGGTGTCAGATGCTGAAATTTCACCAGAAGTTTCCCTATAATTAGGATTTTTTATTTATGTGTATAAGCATGCCTGTAATATACATATATTTATGTATGTATATGAATAAGATTTTCCTTTTGTGGTGGTTTTTAAAATCTTTATATTCATTTTGTTTTTTTTGTTTTTTTTAATGTGTGAGTGCTTTGCCTGTACATATGTCTGTGCACCACGTGGTACCCACCCTCTGAGATCATAAGGCAGCATCAGATCTGAGAACTAGAGTTAAGGTTGTGAACCACCATATACGTTCTGGGTCTCGAGCCCAGGGCCTCTCAAAGAGAAAGTGCTCTTAACCACTGAGCCATATCTTAGCCCCTCCCCACTTTTGACATTGTTTTTGTTTTGAGACAGAATCTTGGTATGTAGTCCAGGCTGGCCTCAAACCCAGTAATCTCCCTGCTTCCGGCCTTTTGAGTGCTAGGATTATGGACATGAATTGTTATGTTCAACTTTTTCACTGTTCTTGCATAAGAAGTTTGTGGTCCAATATCACATTGACCATATTTTTCTATTTGCAAATCAAAACATGGACCAAATAATTATTAGCAGATATATATATATATATATAGGAAATCATGACTGACACAGGACAAATGTCATTTTTACCTATCCTTTACATGTCCCTAAGTGCTGTTGGACCAACTTTGAACTGGCTTTTACAAAATGAGTATCTTTGTAATTAGTCTGGTTGGGCTAGCTTTTCTACTTTAAACATTTTTTTTAGTAACTTGCATCATGTAGGTGTGTTGCTTCCTGTCTCTTGCTTGAAGAAATGCTGGTGTTCCTTAATACTTAACACTTAAGATACTATTCGAGAGCAGATGCAGAGAATGCCATGCGGTACATAAATGGAACTCGTCTGGATGACCGGATCATACGCACAGACTGGGATGCAGGCTTTAAGGAGGGCAGGCAGTATGGACGTGGACGGTCTGGGGGTCAGGTATGCTCCAAGGGCATCAGAGCTGGTCTGCCTGGGGTTCCAGTTATGAAGAGATGTTTTGTCAGTTTGTGGTCATCCTTTATGAACCTGTGCTTGTTAGTGTTGATGGGTTTGGAGGGGTGGTTTCCTAAGACAAGATCTTGCCATGTAGCCAACTGGTTATCAAACTTGAGATCCTCCTGCCTCTGCTTCCTGAATGTTGAAATCACAGATGGGTGAACACCAGGGCCATTGATAAGGAAATTCTAGACTTTAAAATATTAAGTGTTACTGAACTCATAATAGGGGTCTTACCCCTGCAACAGTGCCTAGAACAAAAGTGAAATGCATTGAAATGAATTTAATTTTTACGTCCTGCTTGTACATGGACACCGGAAAAGATTTAGCTATATCTGGCATGATTGTTTGTTGCATCAACATTCCAAGGAGCTGTGTTTTTTGGTTTTTTTCCCAATTAAGGTTCGAGATGAGTATCGGGAGGACTACGATGCTGGGAGAGGCGGCTATGGCAAACTGGCACAAAAACAGTGAGTGGTGAAAGCCCCAAGTACACAGCTCACTCTGTTGATGATGTTGGAGAACATTACCCAAGGTCTGATCAGTATAGTATCTCTGTTGCACTGGAAGCCACTTCTGGTTTTCCTCTGAAATATTAAAAGACAGAATCCAAAAGAATGCCTTTAATTCTAGTCTTATTAGGTTGATTTTCTGTTACTAGGTCAAAAACTGTATTCCTGGGCAGCAGAATATGTGTCAATTAAACTGTCAGCTGAATGGGACACTTCTTTTAGGGAGACTGGAAAATGTAAGGATTGACTTTACAAGCAGTCTGGTAATCTTCATGGGGACAGAAATGATTTTTTTTATATTGTAAGTCTGCATATGTATTACTGAGGTTTTGCTATAGTCTGTAGCTTTGCTCTAAATTAGGAACAGGGGTTTGCTTTTTATATTTCAATATAGTTGGTACAGAAGTCAGCCTTCACTGGGCCTGGGATGCTCCCTGCTTCTGTGCTTATTTATACTTCAGGACACTATCAGTCAGTACTTGAAGAGTGTTCACTAAACATATCCCTCAAAAGATACAAATGTTTCACTGGCAGTTTAAAACAAAACGCCTTTAATCCCAGCACTTGGGAGGCAGAGGCAGGTGAATCTCTGTGAGTTCGAGCCCAGTCTGGTCTATAGAGTGAGTTCTAGGACAGACTCCAAAGCTACAGAGAAACCCTGTCTCAAAAAAAAAAACCAAAAAAACCCAAGGACTACTTTATACAAAGAGCCTCTGCTATCCAAAGTAGGGGAAGACATTGTCAGTAGAGAATAGAATCTAAGTTCAGACACTGCCTTGACATGGAAGCTTCAATTGGGGCCATTAGATTATTTCTTCCCACTTTCAAAATGACCTTGGAATAGAATGGGCTTTTTAAAAGGGCTTCAGCCAGGCCTATAATCCTGGCTACTTGGGAGGCTGAAGCAAGAGAATCAAAAGTTCAAGGCCACCCTGGGCACCTTTTGAGTCTGTCTCAAAACAGAAACAGAAAAGGGGCAGGGGGAGATACAGGGCACAGTGGGTAGGCACTTATGTGAGTGGTCGTGGGTTTATTCCCCAGGACTGCCTGAACAATAAGAATTTGAAGACTGGGAGTCTTTAACAACAGAAACCCTCCTCGAGGGAATGTCTGTGGTAACTAACACACCCCTTAGTCTGTTTCCTTTTTCCCTCCAACTGTGCTTGCTGAGGTCCGTGCAGTGATAGTAAGCTGAAGGGCTCTACAGAAGAGTCTAGAGAATTTTGCATTCTGTCCTAATATTACATATGAGTAATTTTTCATGATTCAAAAAAAGACAAATTTTTTCATCTGTTACCTTCTAATTCTCATGAGTTTTTCAAGGGTGGGACAGAACATCTTCAAAGTTGCAATAAGTGTGGTTTTCTTGGAGCTGTAACAACTTAGGAAGCCCATTTACAAATACTTAATGAGGAGACTTGAGTTTTAAAATAAGGCTTTTTATACTGCAGTTTGAACTGTTTATCTTATATTCTTTTGTAGTAAACTATAATTCAGATTTCTATAATCTTATGACCCAAAACATTGGTAATTTTGTCTTCTGTAACAAGTATCAATAAATTTAGACCAATGTATTCTGTGTATATTTCCTTGCCTATAAAGGAGGACATGTTTTGGTGCCCTGGTATCCTGTGAGAGTCTGAATAATGAATGTACAGAATTTGTATGTCCATTTCAGTTCAATATACTATGGCAGTACATGAAAAGGAAGCCTGGGTGACCCACCTCTGTGAAAACAAAAGATGCACCAAGCAACTACTAAAGGAGGAAGGCAGAAAGAGGCGAGTTTTCCAGAAGACTTGTACTCTAGATGATGGGGCAGGAAGAAAATGGGGCTGAATTAGGATGTTTCTTGGGCTTGAGGATGCTAATTTTGACAGTCCTTTTTCATTATACTCCTTGTCTTAGTTAGGGTTTCTATTGCTGTGTACAGCTCAATAGATAGAGCTAGGTAGGGCTTACAGTGGTCACTGTTCTTCAGTGAGCCGTTACCACTGGAATGGCACTAAAAAAATACTATCCACTAGATATATTATTCAACACAAGAGAACACATGTTTATAAAGGCATTTAGTTTATTTTTCAAAAAAATATTTGCTAGAAGGGTTGAGTACTGACTGTAATTTTACATGATCATAATCTTTCAAGTGAACAACTTGTCTAGGTCTGCTTTTGTAACCCCAAATACAATTGCATTTCTTGGATGCTATTCCCCAGATCTTAGATGTCTACCAGCCAGGAGGCAGAGCCTAGCATACAGCAGAAGTATATGCTGTATAACTGCTGACTAATTGGGTCTCTTAACATAACGAAGCAGAGCAGATAATCAGTGTATTAACTCACTGTTTCTGGCCCTGACCTGCTCAGACCCCAATTGCTTCTACTGCAGGGATGAAGCACTGAACCACAATTGCAAAGAAAAGGGACAACTGATATTAGGCAAGTGCTGGCTGTGTCCCCAGTTAGGTCTGTTACTGTTGTATTTCAACCATAAATTCAAGATGACCATGTTATTCATATTCAGTGGTAAACAGAGAATACAGTGCAAAGCCAAAAATGCACTGTGAAATTATTGGCAGCAACTGCTTTTCTTTTCCTTGAGCAGCCAACTGAAAGTTAATTCTCATGATAACTAAGAAAATTAAAAGATGAATTAATATATATTCACTACAAGAAATTTAACAAAAGCACTGGAAAGAAGCAACTACAGCCAGGTAAGTTTTGCCATGAGGACTGGGCAGCTTATTGAAGGCTCGTCATATATGAATAGCTTTAAGTTTTTGCAGGGTTTACATTCATCCCAGTGACATAAAGTCTGCCTACTTTATGAGCATCAACAGTTCAGTGCCAAGCCAGTGACAATAAAGCATTACCCCAAACATCCAGACAAAATATTCTGCAATCTAGGACTTGAAAGCTAAACAGAAGTTTACTTGTAATCACAAGAAGAGAAAGAACAATTACACATTCTGAAACCAAGTCTTACTAATGACAGACATGGGCTTAAACTGTACTCAAAACATCTGGCATTTAGGCTAAAGCAAGCTGAACAGTCCACCTGAAGGTGCCCTATCATGCTAGAAGAGAAAGAGTAACTGGGCCTGGACAGCTGAGTCTGTTCAATCCTGCATGCTACTGTGCTGACATGACCATTTCTCAGAATGAAGAAGTGCCAACTTGAGCTCTGGGCATTCAGATTCTCCCAGGCATTAAAAATGCTAGTGCATCCATGTAATTCAAACATCAGGGAGGCTGAGGCAGAAGGACTGCAAGTCTGGGCTAAACAAAGACCCTGTTTCGACAAGATTCTCAAAGGAATACAACTAACTTCTCCACGATGGGTCTGTTACTGGAAAAGTGAGATTGATATTTCCTCTCTTAAGACTTTAAAGTTGGACACATTTGAGTCAATGATCTCATTGCTAGCTATTTCAGTACAGGACCAGCAACAAAAAACCATGCTCATATCTTGCATATACATATTGAAGAAGCTCATGTTGGTGTAATTATATCTGAAAGTCTTAAGACCCCATCTTTAGCTGGGCATGGTGACACAGACCTAGCACCTGGGAGAGGACTGGGAATTGGAGGTCATCTTCAGCTATACAGTGAGTTTGAGCTAGCCTGACACTTGAGTCCCTGTTCCCAAAACCCCTTCCCTAAGAGATATTCAAGCAGTCTGGCCTGACAGTGCTGGCCTGTAATTCTAGCTTCTCAGGTGTAGGGAGTATAAACAAGGCCAGACGCAGCTAGAGTGAATTCAAGACCAATGCAGAGAACTTCATGAGACCCTGTCTCAAAATAAAGTACAAAGAGGGTTTTAGCTCAGTGGTAGCACTTGCCCAACACACAAACAGGTCCTGGGTTCAATCTCCAGTACTATAGGAATAAAAGACATCTTCCCCTATCTAGCTGCTTATCTTCTCCAGTGGTGACATAACCTTACCTGTGACAAGATAAAGTGCCTCTACTTTCAGTCTTTTTAATGACTTAAAGCACAAGAAATACTGACCTGGCTTTATGCTAAGGAGTCTGCATATTAAGGAGAGTGCCTGGGCCACTGCCCAGTGTCCATGTTGCTTTAGAGAATCTTGCATGTAAACTAAGTTTGATTCAACCCTTACCTGCAGCAGTAAGCTCTGCTGACATTTTACTTTTGTTTTTCAAACAGCTCTTGCCTAACTCAGCAGTTACCTTCTGCCCTTTACTTGGTAGCTTTCTACAAGTTTATTACTCTTTCCTCCTTCAATTCTAATCAGAAAAAAAGCAACTGGTTAGGCTTAATAGGCATCTTACTTATTTTCTTTAAAACATTGTCACAAAGGCCAGATTAAAGTTGTAAGATCTACCACTTTACTCGTAAACCATAGAACAGGCTGCTCTACAGCCCATCCCCAGAGGATGCAGTTAAATAAACAAGGCAGTTTTTGAGTACAGGATTCAAATTGTTCTTGCAGAAGCCAAAAGAGCCCTTCAAGATGCTGAGCCACCAAGGCTAGAGAAACCATTCTGCATGTGCTCTCCTAGAGACCCCAGGTTGCCTCCCCTCTTCTCCCACCACCTACAAAAGACCTCACGCCAGTCTTCTACCCTCTTGGTATTTCAGATACCCTCAAGTAGAAGCACTTTTGGTAAATCTTAAATAACTTGGAGTACTTGGGAGGCAACAAAGAAAGGTGATAACTAGCAAATTACTTCTATGAAAAGCCTAATTTTCATTTAACCATGAGTTTGATAGGTGCTGTTTTTTTTTCTTTCCCCACAAGTCAAACGGGGGGGGGGGGGAATCCAAGAAATTTCTGTGTCCCAAGAAAAGCCTTTATGAGATTTAATCCACGTATTATAATTCTTAAGACCAAAATGGAAATCTTACTGTAGGGTGTATTGGTAAATACCTATATTACCAGCCCTAGGGAGACAGAGACAGGATTAGCTTGAGATAGAGGACAGCCTAGCTACTGTGAGCTCAGCTTGGGCTACATAATGAGACCTTGTCTCAACAAAACAAAATGAAAGAAACCTTTCTTTCAGGTAACTGGCCCCCAAGGACGCTGTTTTTTTTTTTTTTTTTTCCTTCCCACACCTTAACTCTTCTCACATCAGCACTATGCTTGCAAGCTCTGTGTCCCTAAGTAGAACGCCCCCCCTCTCACACTGGAAGGAAAGCATCTCATGCTCAGGGACTCATCTGAGGGACATCAGTGAAAGGTGCTGCTGGTGTAAAACATGACTGGCTTTCACAACCACTCCTAGCTACCCTTTATGCCATAGGGAACGTCTATTCTGAGCTATGCTCTATCAAAAACATCTTGCATTTTTAGGTTCTGGGGTTAAATTTTAAACCTGTATTCAGTTCACATCTAACTATGTTTCAAAAGCTGCACCAAATCTACTAGGCTTTTTTTTTTTAATACTCTTTACTGCATGCTCTGTCTATATGCATGCGTTTGGATAATAAATATTAAATATGGGAGGGATTATGGAATCCATAAAGTTAAAATGAAACTAAACTGAACATTTAAAAAGTACATGATAGCAGGAGAAATGAAGAAGGGTGAAAATAAATTTGAGGTAACAATAGTGGCCCAATACCACCAATCTGAAATATCTGTAAAAATTCAGTAAGTGTTTGGAGATTCAAGTAACAAACCATCTGCTCCAACATGGCCAGCCTTTTGGAGTCCCTGCCGAGTCTCAGTCCAGGAGCCGGCACTCACACAGCTCCTTATAGATCCTCTTTCGTACTCGAGGCATGTCTTCTTGAGAAAACTGGAAAGGCTGCTCTAGGGCGAGGCACTTGCAGTACTATATAAAAAAAAAAATAAAAATAAATGAACCCACAGACACCTGGGTGGCAGGTGGTTGTGCTCCCACCCACTGCCGTGTAGACACACACACACACACACCTAACAGTCTGAAGCTGCACAGTGACCTTTGTGGGTCTTGTAAAATCTACCACTTGTAGAAAGGTAAGTGCGAACTTGAGTTTCCTTATAAACCCCAAACATTCACAAGGTGTGAGGTGTGAGTGGAGCTACCTCCCAAGGTGTTTTTGTATCATATTATTTTCCCACAAATACATGTGCTCTCCCAGCACTCAGGAGGCAGAGGCAGGCGTATCTATGTGAGTTCTAGGCCAGCCTGGTCTACAAAGAGAGTTTCAGGACAGCCTCCAAACCTACAGAGAAACCCTGTCTTGAAAAACAAAAAAAAAAAACAAAACCAAAAAAACATGTGTTTCTCTGACATGGCTTATTAAGACTCATCACTCCTTCTTGGCCCAGGAGGCAGTTCTTCCTAATGATTGTATCTGCAAATACAGCAACAGCAAAGGGGAAAGTGTTGCCATCCTTAATAATGTATACACGCAGGACTACCATTTCTTCTCTCAAAACTACCAATTCACATACTGTTAAAAAAAAAAAAAGTATTTACCTGGAGCACAAAGACTCCACAGTCACTGTCATTTTTCTGTTGTGGAATACACTGAAGAGAAAAGTAAGATGGTTATTAAAACAAGAAAATTTTCTGTGGTAAATGAACAAGAGCTGGGAAACTCCTCTCTGTCCTGGACAGCTGGCCTATATCTCCACTATCCAAATATCTGAACATGGAGGGCCTGTGCCTCACGGAAAGTTCTCTAAGTGGCAACCATAATTTAAATGTATGAAATGAGAAAACCAAACCTAAAAACCATCATAAAGACCTAGCTAACTAGTTGTGGTATCAATTCAATGACAATGGAACCAAGCGGCCTTGTGGATCCAGCATATGCTGGAACACCAGCATTCATCCCTTTGTGCCTTCTGGCTGTAGATGCAATGTAACATCTGCTGCATGCCTCTGCAGCTATGCACCCCCACCCTTGCCGTGATAGACTATACTCTCTACTCTCAGACTGTTAGCCACAATAAGACCTTTTCCATCTGTCAAGTATTTTGTCACAACAATGAAAAAAATAAAACAAAACAAAAAACAAACTCAAGTTCTTTGTAGCCTTACCTTTTCACCTCAGATTATTCAATTCTGTTTTATTTTTTTAAGACTGTTTCCTGGGCTGGAGAGACAGCCTCCAAACACAAAGAAAAACCCTGTCTCGAAAAACCAAAAAAAGGGCTGGAGAGATGGCTTACAGGTTAAGAGCATTGCCTGCTCTTCTAGAGGTCCTGAGTTCAATTCCCAGCAACCACATGGTGGCTCACAACTGTCCATTATGAGATCTGGTGTCCTCTTCTGGTGTGCAGATATACATGGAAGCAGAATGTTGTGTATATAATAAATAAACAAATAAAATATTTAAAAAAGACTATGTTTCCAAAAGAACTGGTTACTGTATCTAAGGCAGAAACATTAAAGACCCTGGAGGGACATAGCATACCTAGATGAGCTAGATGGATAAATCAGTAAGTCAAATTTTAAAAAATAAAATTCTACAAGTTCATTTCTGGTGTGAACTAGTATGTAGGTTATTAGAAACATAAAACTATGGCTCAATTTTAAAGTTCAGTATTTGGCTCAGTTCAAAAATGAACTAATCTTGATCTTTTGGGCTTGAGTTCAACATTTGTCAAGACCTTGCCTATAAAACTGGGCCAGTAACCTAGACAAACCTGAGTTCAGGACTTGTCTCTAACAATAGTTCTGATATCCAGTTTTTATGTCTGTAAAATAAAGATGCTTCTTATCCCTAGAGAACCTGCTGCCACTCAGGTTGTAAGGATTAAAAAAGATCATTACAAAGTCACAACTGGAGGGGCCATGTATGCCTCGCACTCAGTTCCATGTAGAGCTGCTTTACTGTCTATGGGCCAAACACACTAAAGTACCCATCTTGGTCCCTCTGTGAGCCCAAATAGTCATTTTAGCATACGTCTGAGTCTATATGTATCACGTGGAATTTATACCTACAAGGCAAAGTGCGACCTCTCCCTCCAAAAATTTTGTTTTCCATCGAACACCACATGATTACTAACTACACCAAGGATGACATGATTTATGCTACCTCCTCTCAGCAAATCCTGGGAAACTGGGCCTCAAGATGCTTTATTTTGAGTTGCCTGGAATTTCCTGGAGGATCTTTTCACCCCCAGTCTTCATCTCTCTCAGCAGGCACTCGCACTGGGTCCCTGCCACCCATGCACATGCCCAAGTTTTCTTTGATTCATTCTTACCTTTGTAACAGCAGTCTGCCAACCCTGAAGAAATTCAGGTCTGTTTTTTTCTCTGGCTTCAGTCAGCAAATACTTTCTTATATTCTGGTTAAAAAGAAACCACAACACACATGTCTTCCATTAGTTGGTGAAAGCATGGAAGCTGCGCACACCTAAGCCAATATAAGTAGCATTTTAATTGTAGAGCTTTCAGTAACCTGCCTGCATAACTACCAGATGAGTCTGCCTTCACTGTTCCAGTTAGGCTCATGCACATGAATTCTGCAGTGTGAATTTAAAAGCAGCTCAGCAGGCCTTTCAAACTTCTGTTAGTGGGCTGGGGATGGAGCTCAGTCCAGTGCTTGCCTAGCATGCGCAAAGCTCTGGATTCAATTCCCAGTACCATATAACCCATATGTGGTGATAAACACATAACATATATACCACTTGGGTGGTATAAGGACAGAACCAGGAGTTCAAAGATATCCTTGGCTACATAGCAAGTTGAAGGCCAGCCTGGGCTATATTAGATCTCATCTCAACACCAAGCAGTGTTGAGTACTTATAATCCCAAGGTTTAGGAGGCTGAGGACAGGGTGATATGTTTGATGCCAGCATGGGCTACACAGCAGACCTTCTCTGAATAAAACAAAACAAAAATCTTAAGTAATTGATGAGATGAAAATTGCTAGAAGTTAGTTTGGTGAAAATGGATCTCTTTTCAACACTGAGTCTGCTTGCTTCTCTAGCTTCTCAGATTTCCCCCATTAATTGAAGCTTTAACTTCTTCACTCTGAAGTCTTTGCACACTCCTCACTACAGTACACGGGATGATGGGCACCAATACTTGAGTAAGTAGAACCTGCTTCTTGTTTTCCGAGACAGGGTTTCTCTGGGTAGCCCTGGCTGTCCTGGAACTCACTCTGTGGACCAGGCTGGCCTCGAACTTAAGAGATCTGTCTGCCTCTGCCTCCTGAGTGCTAGGATTAAAGTCATGTGCCACCGGGTGGTGAGTTGACTTAGCAGTTAAAAGCACTCTTCCAGACATTCTGAGCTCAATTCCCAGTAACCACATGGTGGTGGCACACAACCATCTATGGTGGGATCTGATGCCTTCTGAAAGAAGTATGTACATACAGATAGAGCAGTCATATACATAAAATAAATTAATTAAAAAATAGAAAGTCATGTGCCATCACCACCCAGCATCAGGCACACTTTTCTAGCTGGCCCTTCATTATGTATAAAACCTAGGAAGGCTGATTTTTGTGGTCTCCCCCACATCTTGTTGCACTCGTATTGATATTAGCTGAACTCTTCAGGGTGTAATTCCCATTTGGAAAGTAGAGGCAAAAACACCAAGGACTTCAAGGTCATCTGACCAGTTTTGAGACCAGCCTAGGCTATGTAAGATCATTATCTTTACCTAAACTCTAATATTTTGTTCCAGTATAAAAGTTATTTCGAAGATCTGAGATACTATTAGCTCTAAAAGAAAGGAAGAAAAGATAGTTTCTATCCACACTTAAGTTTCTTCAAGGAAACACAGGAAAAAATGGTGTGTGGGTGTGTGTGTGTGTCCTTAAAAATGCTGGTGGTAGGGAGCACACACCTTTAATCCCAGCACTTGGTAGGCAGAGGCAAGCTGATCACTGTGAGTTCGTGGCCAGCTTAGTCTACAGAGTAAGTTCCAGGAAATCCAGTGCTACATAGAGAAACCCTGTCTGGAAAAACAAAATTAAATAAATAAAATGCTAAATCCAACTAGGGCACACCTCTCCAAAGGGGGTCAGACATCTGACAGCTCAGTCACCTGCCCAGATTGCTGTTCTCTCATCACCTCAAAGCAGCTGCTGACGTCCACCGCTCTGTCTAGAGCTATGACATGTCATGGCCAATCACAGATAAAAAATAAAATAGGCAGAACAGTAACTTACCTCTACACAAAATTTAAAATGAATGCCTTGGGAATCATAAAATGAAATAATTCGATTGGAGAGTGTCACAGTAATGAGAGACCAGTGGACTTCCAGGTGGATAGGAATCAACAGAAGGCTCTTTTTAAACAAATCCACCTAATTAAGAGAAAGAAAGGGACTATCACCACAGAACCAACAGTACACTCACCTACAAACATTTGACCTGCTAAAGATCATACCGTGGGGAAGTGGTAAAGCAGAATTTGAACCCATGTCTCATCTTAAAGCCCATGTCTGTAATTACCAAGTTATAATATCAAAAGTATGACAAATAGAAAATTATTATTTTTCACTTAATCTATAAGAACTAGTTTTGTCAATTGTCTGGTATGACAGCTTATTTATTACTGGTGTGTGAATGAGCAGTATAATGTGTATGTGTCAGAGGACAACTGTATGGAGCTGGTTCTCTTCTTCCATCTTGATATGGGATCTGCTTTTTGTTTTAAAACAATGCTAGGGATCCTAGCATATACTAGGGCTAGTATTAATAGTACTAAAAAGCAATAAAAGTTTAAAAAAATAAAACTAGCCAGGTGGTGGTGGCACACACCTTTAACCCCAGCACTCGGGAGGCAGAGAAAGGCGGATCTCTGTGAATTCGAGGCCAGCCTGACCTGCAGAGTTCCAGGACAGGCTCCAAAGCTACAGAGAAACCCTGTCTTGAAAAAAACAAAAAGCAGAAACTAAAAGTGAAAAGTAAAGATCATGCAACCTCAAGCAAATCTGCCTAAATTCAAATACTTCCTTTTGCTTCATCTGTTTTAATTGCCCTTTTATGCCCTGGTTTCATAAAGTGTAACATGTAGGAAACAAATGTACCTAGCCTTCCTTATGCAGTTCTAAAGAATGAGAGGAGAACATGAACACAGAGACATGTGCTTCAGCATACTCCTGTCCAGTGTCCAAATGGAGAAAGAAAACATGCTTGACAATACTGTATACCCTTTAGCTCAAATAAATCCTTAAGATCCTAACATAGTTGGGGAGTGGTGGTGCACACCTTTAATCTCAGCACTTGGGAAGCAGAGGTAGGCGGATCTCTGGGAGATTGACAGCCTGATCTGCAGCACAAATTCTAGGAAAGGCAGACTACACAAAGAAACTATCTTGAAAAACAAACAAAAAAATTCCTAAAATGTCCTTTATATCCTAAAACATGTCTTTTATACTCAATTCCACTCAAACTTCAGCTGGTTCAGCTAGTAAAGGCCACAGTCATCAAGCTGATGATCCTATTTCAACCCAGAACCAACACTGCAGGAAGAGAACTGACTACTACAGGCTGTCCTCTGACCTCCATACCTGAGTCATGCCATGTGGGTTCCCACACACTCACACATACTAAACAAATGGATGCAATTAAAAATACAAAGGGTAACAAAGTAGTAGGCACTCCATAAACACCTATAAAAGGTGAGTTAGCTGGGCATCAGCAAATCATGTAATCCCAGATTTTGGGAGGTGACAGCAAGAGTTGTTCAAGGTCATCCTCTGCTACAAGGAGAGTTCCAGGAAAAGAGACCCTATCTAAAAAACAAATACAAAGTTGGGCACGGTGGCATGTGCCTAGAGTA